TCCCCACTTGGGGCTGTCCCCACCCACGGGACAGTTTGCAAGTCCTCCCTTCCTGCACTTGCTTCCTTCTTCCTAGGTGTCCCCCACCAGCTAAGGGGCTCCAGCTGTGCCTCACCTACATGCCTCCCACGGTCTAAGCTCAGTTCCCACACAGCTTCTACAGGGGACCCAGGTATCCACTGCTGCAGGGAGATGAAGCCACCAGTATGGACCATGTCACACATTACACTTAATGTGTGTATCTACACTTGCCCCGCCATGGCACAATTGTTATGTGTCATCATTTAGTACTTGCTTTTGGAAGTACTAAATGACGGTGCAGTAACAGTCACTACTGCACTGTCCGGGTGGCACACAGTTATTTTTAGATGCTATGTTACCATAGCAGTGCAGTATAATGAGGTAGCTCATCACTATGGTGACATAGCAGCAGTATCACAGTTCGTGCCTGCTGACGCTACACTGCTGTAGCCATGAGCTATGCAGCATCACATTTAGACATGCCCAGTATGTGTTAAATGCACTTAAAACACAAGTGACCTCATGTTGAAGCAGTAAAGCATATGCTAGCGTGCTTGTATCCTAGCAGAGTTACCATCTGTTGTACAAGGAGTATCTCCAAATCATATTTAGTAACGTGTGTTTGATTATTGCCAGACTACTCCACAGATCTAATGTAAGCAATGGTGACATCAGTCAGGGACCCTTCTACTGTATCAAGCCTCCAATGGGATGAGGAAAGCCACACATTAGGAGGAAGGATCCTGGATCCTTGGGGATAAGAACAGGGGGAAGACAAATACAAGAAAATTCCTTTAATGCATAAAAGTTCACACAGAAGTACCCAACCAGGAAACAATAAAAACTACACATGCTTTTTTATTAATGCCAGAAGTCTAAGATCAAAGGTGGGGAAACTGGGATGCTTAGCAGTAAATAATGGTATTGATGTAATAGGTGTCTCTGAAACTTGGTGGAATGAAGAAAGTCAGTGGGATGTTATAATACCAGGATACAAATTATACAGGAATATTATTATAGGAA